TCAGCAGTATTCGTGCCGTCGAGTAGCCGATTTTATTTCCAGGCACTCGACGACAAAATACCGCTGGGCTAACAAGGGATCCAAGATGGCCAACCGCCGCGTGGTCGGTAGCCGAATGGCGGCCACCCTGAATCTTTAATAACTACCAAAAGGTACAATGTTGCAATGTTTAATGGGAGCCACACCGATTGGTATTAAGGGAACAAACTACCAAACGCCCGGGGCTCCCGAATGGCCTTGAAGTCCAGTGGTGTTCGCGCCATCGATTAGCCGATTTTAGTTCCAGGCACTCGATGACCAAACACCACTGGGCTAACAAAGGAATCAAGATGGCCGACCGCCGCGTGGTTGGTAGCCAAAAGACCCATTCTGTAGTTTGTTCCTTTCACGAACAGTGTTGAAATTCACTGTTCGTGAAAATTACTGTATGAATGCTGGTGGCCTTCATGCCGCCAGTATACGAATGCTCTTGTTCGCATAAAATAAAGAATTAGGTATACGCTTGGTTATAACATTCTTAAAGCTACAGCAACACATTGATACAAATACAGTCTTAAGTGGCTAGTTTTGCCACATTCAGCAAGGACATTTGGCCCAAATATATGCACTAACTGGTTCAAATTACATAACGGAACTGTCAGGATTACAGTATGATCCAGCACATAGAATTGTGTAACACAGAGGACTAATAGGTAACGTATACCGGACCTTAGAATGGCCGGACTAACGTACCAAAGAATAGTCAGAAATAGCTGAGGTCAAGGGGTACAGAAAGAGACACAATGATAAGGAAAAGCCAGGGATCAGGGATGCCAGAAAACAGGGAAGTCAAAATCAACGCCAAAGTCAAAATACCAGAATAACCAGAATTAATAATGTGCTCTCCGACAAAAACAAGGGAAACCACGACAGGGCACTAAGCAAGAGGAGAACTGGGCCTAAATACCCTGCCTGTGGCCCGGACTGGCCATCTGGCATACCGGGAAAATGCCCGGTGGGCCGCGATGGCCAGGGGCCAAGGCCGGCAGGGGAGATCATAGGATCTCCCCGGCCGGGGCGCATGCAGAGCCGACACTATCACTGTGCCGGCCTTGCTGTGTGCCTCAATGGACCAGTGGGGAGATCAAAGATCTCCCTCACCGGCCCAGAGGCACTGTGACACTGCTATGCCGGTTGGGGAGGGAGAGGAGGACCGGCGGAGCTCTAGCCAGGAGCTCCAATGGGTTCTCTCGCCTCAGATCTTGCGAGAGTGAACTCTACCCCAGGAACTGCTAGGTAGAGTTCACTCACCACTAGGACCACCAGGGACTGCAGCATGAGACAGCACCACCAGGGACTCCTCCATGGATGCATGGCTCCCCCCCTCCCAAGCTAAAGGTAAGAAGGGAGGGGGGATATGAAGTTTATTATTTTTTTAATTTTTTTATTTATCCCCTATTTCTTAAATCTGATTTTATCCTACATTTTTTTAAATTATAATAATAATTTAAAAAAAAGAATCATAAATTTACACCCTGCCCCCCCTACAGACACAATCCCTCCAGACATATTCACACACACACAGCACCCTCAGACACACACACAGCACACACAGCACCCTCAGACCCACACAGCACACTCACCCACACAGCAACCCTCAGACACACACAGCACCGTTAGACACATACACGGCACACTAACAGCACCCTCGGACACACACGCACTGCACCCTCATACACAGCACCCTCACACACAGCACCCTCACACACACACACATCACCCTCAAACACAGCACACTCACACTAACAGTACACTTACACACACAGCACACTTACCCACACAGCACCCTCACGCACACACAGCACGCTCAAACCACAGCACGCTCAAACAGACAGCACGCTCACACACACAGCACACTCACAAACACAGCACATTTAGACAAACACACAGCACCCTCACACAGCACATTTACCCACACAGCGCCCTCACGCACACACATAGAACCCTTGCACACACACAGCACCCTCAGACACACACACACACACATATATATATATATATCATATAAAATAACCCTCAGTGAATTAACAAAGATAATTAGACACATAGAATGTGATGGTAAGAACACCCTCACACACATGCTGCACACCTCACACACAACACACTGGACCTCTCACACACAACACACTGCACCCCTCACACCACATACTGTACCCCTCACGCACACATTCTGCATATAGCACACCCAACACGCTGCACCCCTCACACACACATGCTGCACACAACACACCCAACACACTGTGACCCTCATACACACATGCTGCACACAGCACACCTAACATATACATATAAATTTTGGATGTAAATATTGTGTATATATATATATATATATATATATATATATATATATATATATATATATATATATATATATATATATATATATATATATATACTATAGCACCCTTCACACTGCACCACTACACACACTACATTCCTGACATACAAACTCTGGATCCCCTATGCACACACTACATTCCTTGTTGACAAACACACACTCTCTACCACCCTTAGACACACTACAGCCAATATGCACACACTCAATACATCCCCAATACACATTATTCCCCTATACACACACTCTTTACAGCCCCTAGCACGATATGCTTTCCTGGCCAATTTTGTCCTCTGGTTCCCACCTACTGAGACACCAGAGACAAGTGAAAAGCAAACACAGCGCAAGCATGTTATTAAATTTGCGCTGCGCAGACCTTTTTCTCATGCAAGAGCTCTTCAGCAGGGCTCTGTGCATTGAACTAACATGCTCACTTTGAGAGGGTGTGTGCTTGTCCTTAGTGATGACAAAACACACCCTCTCTGGCCCCGCCCCCTTCTCAGGGGCCGCTGTGATTGAAAAATGCACGGGACAACTTTTTTTCCCAGTTCGGCCCTGGTTGTAACCGACCTTTGACCCCAAAGGCAGTTAGCAGGTTCATATTTGCATGATTGCTGCTCAGCACAAACCCTCCTGTCGATTGATTGCTGCTGGACAGTAAATGCAATTAATCACATTTTTATGTGCAGATGAATACGAGACAGGAACAAGACTGTCTCCAATCCTGTATATTATTTCTATGCAGATGTTACGGTTGCCTCCAGGCTGGCTGGAAGTTGGACCGTAGAAAGGATGCTCCTAGCGCTCACCAAAGGACCATCAGCACTGTAGACACCATAACTACTGTGTAGTCACCATAAGTAATGTAAGCGTTGCCCTCGTAGCGACGTATCAGGTTGAAGTGCTCTTCACAGGGTTCTATCCAGGGTCCTGCTTGCTCCATGCTGCAGTAGGTAGGGACGCTGCGCAGAGGATAGCGTTGCCCTCAATAACTCTCATACGATACCAGTGCTGTTGGGGTGCTGCTCCTTGCGCTAGGACGCCATCCCACCTCTGCCACCAAATGTTACGGTTGCCTCCAGGCTGGCTGGAAGTTGGACCGTAGAAAGGATGCTCCTAGCGCTCACCAAAGGACCATCAGCACCGTAGACACCATAACTACTGTGTAGTCACCATAAGTACTGCAAACTCCACGAACCGCCGCTGCTGGGCTAGGATCTCACCGTCTGCTATCGACCCTGGACCTACGACCAGGCTCCAGGTTCCAGTAGGTGAACCTCTTCCTTCTGTAGAGCGACGCAGGATCAGGAACAAGAGCTCTTACAAGAACTCAGTAGCTAAGGGAGTATGAAGAGCATAGCAATCCCTGTAGTGATTATAGCTGTCCCCTACAAACATGAGTCAAGGCTGCAAGTTAGAGGGTCAAGTCATTCTGTTTTATTGGCACCAAAAGAACCTTCTTTTATGCAGGTTTCCCTTAGATAGGACCACCCACAGGGTTTTACACAACAACCAATCATACACGTATATTACAGAAACACTCCCAGCAATTACATACAATATCCTCCCCTCTGCCTGTGATATAATTATGGTACACAATGGTTTAACATAATTATCACAAGCAGTAAAATTACAGTTTTTATACATATCCTGTAACTTTAAAACCACACATCCAATCTTCATAAATTACATATTTAGAATCAACAACCTTCAAATATATACATAACCAAAAATCAGCCAAATCCATCCAGGGGTTAAAAAGTTAGCTGGAGGTCCCTTTATGACCAACCACAAGCACATTTTCCTACCCAAAACAGTTCCATAGATTTGGGCTGTGCGACCGGTCTATTCTGAGCTGGAAAAACGACTAAGTCCCATCGCCGAATGGGACATAGTCTCTGCGGCTGCAAAATCATTGTGGGAGAAGGTAGGGCTCAGCGGTGTTCACGGAAATGTATAGCCAATTTTAGTTCCATGAATTTGGCTACACATACCGCTGACCTCGTTCGAATGAACAAAGATGGCCGCTGCCACATGTTCGGCAAACGAACAAAGGCCACCCAGCACTGTCAATTAAGCTGCGGTTAACCGCAGCTTCTGGGAGGTAAATTGCCTGCACACTTCCACTTCTGGGTGGTCCGCTTGTGTGGTACTTGGTTCAGTAAGCCCCATTTACCGAACCAAGTGGGAAATAGCCAGGAACAAAGGGCTTTAACCAGGTCTGGGGACACAGGGGACACCGTCTTAAAGGGGCAGTGTCATAAACAAGTCTGGGGACACAGTCTTAAAGGGGCAGTGTCCAGGGCCGGACTGGGGATACGAAGCAGCCCTGGAAAAAAATCTATGCCAGCCCCATAAGTCATTGTGCTATGTAGGGTGTTATAAATATATAGAGGCAATTGAAATAGTTGGCTGCACTCTCGGATTTCCTTTAAATGTAACTTTTATTGAAATATTTAAGAGAAGATCAACATTTCAGTCCCTCTTGTGGACTTGCATCAGGATCATGACGAAAGTCCACAAGAGGCACTGAAACATTGATCTTCTCTTAAATGACCACTATAGTGCCAGGAAAACACACTTGTTTTCCTGGCACTATAGTGCCCTGAGGGTGCCCCCACCCTCAGAGTCTCCCTCCCGCCCGGCTCTGGAAGGGGGAAAGGGGTAAAAACTTACCTTTTTCCAGCGCTGGGCGGGGAGCTCTCCTCCTCCGATCCTCCTCTTCTCCTCCCATGCGGCTGAATGCGCACGTGCGGCAAGAGCTGCGCGCGCATTCAGCCGGTCACATAGGAAAGCATTTTCAATGCTTTCCTATGGACGCTTGCGTGCTCTCACTGTAATTTTCACAGTGAGAATCACGCAAGCACCTCTAGGAATTGGAGGAAGGCTTAACCCATTTATAAACATAGCAGTTTCTCTGAAACTGCTATGTTTATAAAAGAATGGGTTAAGCCTAGCTGGACCTGGCACCCAGACCACTTCATTAGGCTGAAGTGGTCAGAGTGCCTAGAGTGGTCCTTTAAATATTTCAATAAAATTTTATGTTTTAAGGAAATCTGAGAGTGCAGCCAACTATTTCAATTGCCTGGATACTGGAGCCCTGGTGATGCAATAGTATATAGTATATATATTTTTTTATTGATACCTTTCTTCTTCTAATTCAAAATATTAGTTATTTTAGGGTAATTAAATTATACAGTAAAGCATACTCACACACAGACACAGACAATCTTACTGATGCACACAAATAGGCTCATTGACAGACAATCTCAATGACACACACAGACAAGGTTACTGGCACACACAAATTTAGTACAGACAAACTCTGATACACACACAAGCTTACTACAGACAAGCTCACTGTCACACACACACGCTCACTACAGACAAGCTCACTGATGGGCACACACTCTCCCTACAGACAAGCCCATTGACACACAGATTCACTACAGACAAGTTTACTGACACACACATGCTCACTACAGACAAGCTCACTGACACACACACTCACTACAGACAAGCTCACTGACACACACGCTCACTACAGACAAGCTCACGATCACACTCATGCTCCTTACAGACAAGAGCTCACTAACACACACACATATGCTCCCTACAGACAAGCTCACTGACACACATACAAGCTCACTCACTAGCAGGCACACACACACACACACAAACTCACTAGCAGGTGCGCGCACACACAGAGGCAGACAGTCACTGACACAGAGGCAAACATCCACACATACAGAGACAGGCAGACAGACACACACACACACAGGCAAACAGTCACACACACACACAGGCACACACTCACAGGCAGTCACACACACAGACAGTCACACACACAGACACACACAGTCACACACTCACAGGCAGTCACACACACAGACAGACAGTCACACACAGTCACACACACAGACAGTCACACACACAGACACACGCACACAGACAGACACACAGTCACACACACAGACAGTCACACACACAGATACACACACACAGGCAGTCACACACACAGACAGACACACACACAGGCAGTCACACACACAGTCACACACTCACAGACAGTCACACACAGACACACTGACCTCTTTCTTCCCTCCTGCTTGGAGCTCCTGGAGGCTGGTTGTTGGGGAAGCAGGGACTCCTTCCTGCTTCCCATGCTGCAGTCAGCCAGGCCCCCGCCGCACAGTCAGCCCCGCCCCCGCCGCACGCTAAGCTCCGCCCCACGTAAGCTCCGCCCCCGCCGCACGTAAGCTCCGCCCGCCGCAATTTTTTTTTTTATGATCCGGCCGCTTGTCTCCCTCTGCTCCCATGGGGCTCTGTGCGGCTGCACAGCTCACACATGGGGTACATGGCCGGCCGGGATCACAGTAGCTGTCAGCCCAATGATTAGGGCTGTCAGCCCAGCCCCAGGTGCCGCGGCCCACCAGGAAATTTCCCGGTATCCCGGTGGGCCAGTCCGGCCCTGGCAGTGTCCCAATTTTCCCTATGCCCCAAAAAGATGCTTAAAGGGCCAGCACTAGTCCCATAAAGAGTCCATAAGCCCCAATATGCCCACCGACTGTCTTAAAGGGCCATACACACCCAATAAAAGTCCATACGTTTTCACAATCTCCCAGGGGCCATAGTCATGCGGAAGGAGGCTGGCAAATAGGCTTCTCCACAACCCAGGGAAGCAGGGCAATTTGTCATTTAAAGGGCCAGTTACAAATAGTAGTTTGTAACAGGAGATATTGGCGATTAATATTAGAAACAACCAGCAAATAAAAGGCATTGCTACAAATTTAAAACTGAACTTATATGCGGATGATTTGATTATAATGCTAACTGACCCTGTCATATCTATAAACGAAGTAAAGACGTGTAGTGACATCTCAAACTACAAAATAAATGAGAATAAAGCAACAATTTTGGACATTAATGTAGATAAAGAGAGTAAGGATCTTATAAACGCTAGTTATAAATTTAACTGGGCTAATACTACCCTCCAGTATCTTGGTATACTTCTGACCAGAGATGTCTCTGACTTAATGCAAACTAATTTTTTAAGCTGCTTTAGGGACATGAATAAGTCATTGAAAAAATGGAGACAAGTAGAGATCACTTGGTGGGGGAGGATGGATTTGATTAATGCTTACTGTGACTAAGTGCCCTTCGCCACTTGTTCTTGGAGAGGCCTGCTTGCCAGCCTCTTGCCTTGTGACTATGGCCCCTGGGAAGTATTGCCATTTAAAAAGTCTGTTTGGGCTTATTGGATTTTGGGACACTTTTTCTGCCCCTTTGAATCCATGGGAAGGTTTGCCTCTTCCCCTCCCCTGTTTCCTGTCCCATTGTTCTCCAGCAGGGCGTTGTCCCAGGGACACTGCCAGACCAGTTGGAACTGGCTGCTTTGTCCCTGCTCGGTCAAATAGGACTTCTATCTAACTTTTAAACCACTGGAGGGAATTGTATGATTTTTGAGTATGTTTGTATATTGATTGTGCTGGTTCTGAATATGTAACTATTATGGAGATTGTATGTATATTTATGACTTATGAATATTGTATGAAACTATATATTTTCCTGCCTGTGATAATTAAGTTAACCCATTTGTGGCAAACCTAGCCACTTGGATTATAACTAGAGACTATGCCTTTAAGGGTTGCCTATAGGTCTGGGGAGATATGTGCTTTACTCTATATGTGTATGCTTTATGTATTCTCTGCATTACCTGTAATTGCCTTTTCCGCCGAATGCAAATGGCGGTTTGTATGGGGGTTTTCTTTCGTTCCACGAACGGCACTTGGGAGGGCCGTTCGTGAACCGAACGCAATACCCCTAATAGCCCACACACTTAGAGGCGTGTGGCGCTAGTTAACCGATTGCAACAATGTTGCAATCGGTAATTAGAGGCTCTCCTGGGTGGCCGTCGTTCGACTACCGACCATGCGGCGGTCGGCCATCTTGGATTCTTTGTTCCCTCAGCGGTGTTAGGTCGTCGAGCGCATGGTACTAAAAACGGCTACTCGACGGCACGAACACCGCTGAGCTTCCAGGGCGTTCGGGAGTTGCGGGCCATTCGGGATTTTGTTCCCTGAAAGCAATTGGTCCTTTTTATATGTTTTATAAGAAATGTGTTTTTCGTGCGGCGTTCGGTTATTTTAGCTGGGATCTGAGCGGTAATCTCACGAATGATGCGCTCAGACCCCAGCTATCTACCGAATGTCCATTCGTGTAAATCCACCGTATATTAACCCAGTTATGGATTTTTGTATAAATTGTCGGTTCTGCTGCACGAGGGGATAATCCACTTAACGGTGTGTTCTGGGAGGAGGATCCCTCTCGTGCAACGGTGCCTGATGGGAGAAATATGTTGTCATGTAAGTCCCCCATGTAGTGCCCTCTGGGAGTGCCCTCTGGGAAACCCCTTGCATGGGGACTTGTATAAATTGTCCAGCCGAATTAAAGGATTTCAGTTGACTCTCAGAACTGTGTCTCGTCCGGTTACTGGGAGGTTGGGGATATTGCCTTGTTGTTTCAGCGCTTGACT